TGAGAGGTCCAAAAGAACTAGGACAGAGGAACAACCCCTGTCCCGGGCCCTCCAGAGATCATTCACCAATGTGACCAATGCCGTTTCCGTGCTGTATCCCGGCCTGAAGCCCGACTGGAGCGGGTCTAGATAGACCGTTTCCTCCAGGTGTCGGGGGAGCTGCCGCGCAACCACACTCTCCACAACCTTTGCCACAAAGTGAAGGTTGGAAACCGGACGATAGTTAGCTAATACATCTGGGTCCAGGGAAGGCTTCTTAAGGAGGGGCCTCACCACCGCTTCCTTCAAGGCTACGGGGAAGACACCCTCCCACAAAGAAGCGTTTATAATTCCCTGGAGCCAGGCTCGTGTACCCTCCCGGGCAGCCAGTACCAGCCAGGAGGGGCACGGATCAAGTAAACATGTGGTTGCATTCAGCCTCCCGAGAATCCTGTCCACATCCTCAGGAGCCACAGAGTCAAACTCCTCCCATATAACAGTCTCAAAACTTACTCCTGTCTCCTCCCCCGGGGCCACCCAGTCAGAGTCAAGACCTTCTCGGATCCGAGCGACTTTGTCATACAGATATTGAGCAAAATCCTCGGCCCTCCCCCCCAGGGGATCCTCCCCCCCCTCAACTGGAGGAGGGAGTGAGTCACCCTGAAGAGGGTGGCCGGGCGATTATCTGATGACGCAATGAGGGTGGAGTAGTAATTAGACCTCACCACCCTCATCACCACTAGGTAGGATCTAACCTGTATCCTTGCCTGTGTTCGATCGAATTCGGTTCGGCTCACCCTCCAACTGCTCTCTAGGCGTCTTTTCCGGCGCTTCATCTCTCTCAGCTCCTCGGTAAACCAGGGAGCCAATTGAGATCTGCGCCGGGTCAGAGGCCGCAAAGGCACGACTCGGTCCAATGCTACGGCAGTGGCCACTTCCCAGGCCGCCGCCAGATTTTCAACCGAATCGTGAGCTAGGTCCGCCGGATATGGCCCAAGCTCCGTCTGGAACCTCTCTGGGTCCATCAGGCACCTGGGGTGGAACCATCTAAGTGGTTCCTCCTCCCTGCGGCGGGGGGGAGCGGTCCGGAAGTCCAACCTGAGGAGTGAATGATCTGACCATGACAGGGGCTCTATCACTACGTCCCCCTTTTCCAGATCATTCTGCCACTGGCCAGAGACAAAAATTAGATCTAGTGTGTGTCCCCCCGTGTGAGTCGGGGCATGAACTAATTGGGTCAAGTCCAGGGCCGTCATGGAGGCCAAGAACTCCCGAGCCGCCACCGACGTTTCGCCCGCCGATGGCAGATTGAAGTCCCCCATGACTATAAGTCTGGGGGTCTCAACTGCCACCCCGGCTATCACGTCGGCCAGCTCAGGCAGGGCCGTTGATACATAGCAGGGAGCCAGGAATGTAATGAGTCACAATCATTGTCAGACTCATGAAAGTCATGTGCTTCAGATTCTTACCTGCACCATGACACTTCTGCAAATGTAGAAAATACTGTGGTTTGGCAGGACAAAGTCATTCACATGTCTTTGGTGGCATTTTGTTAGCACTGCCAGCACATAATATGAATGAGTCAAGCTATATAACAGAAATGACGCTGACAGCTACTCATAATCTCTTCTACAGCTACAGAGAAATTCCACATTGGGGCGGTAGATGTTCTAGCACCACCCATACTAACAGATCAGTCACCAGTGGACGATGACTCATAACTTGATAGTTACTATGGTATGAATCTTGAGGAATGGTGTAGCATAACAGTAAAGGATTGAAATAAATATCCCCCAACATCTGCTTCTGGAACTGATCATTAATCTAGGAACATAGCCATGTAATCCAAAATCTTATGCACCCCAGAGGTTGATGGTATTAAAAGCGCATTGAAAGAACTAAGGGAAGGAACATGGTCACATTTTCCATATTCTCTCAGCATACAGCATAAGGTGATCAAGGAATTTTTCATTCCAAAATAAGACCTGAAATATCTGAAGTTCACTACTTATCATAACTGAAGCATTTTGCTCAGAATTTTTTTTTAGTAATCAGAGTATCATTCTTTACTTCCTCCAGAATCAGATTAGCTTTCTTTTTAAAAAGTTAACCTATGGCCTAATTAGTGCCCCCTTTAAAGATAAACCCTTATCTTAGAAAAATCCTAATCACACATTAGATAGAGGCCATAGATAGAGGCCATAGATACACAGGCAATTGCTAAGTCATATGCTGAAAGTGTTTTTTGTCTCTTCTTCATGTAGGTACAGCAAAGGGCAGATGAATGCATTAGAGCACTTGACCTTTTGCTTGAAATTAATTCTGGAAATCCCATTAAGAACATTCTGCCTTTAAATTTCAACTGGAGTCTTTTAAAGGTAAAAGAGATAGAAGATTCCCCTTGCTAATTGGAAATTCGTAATTTTGTATGTTGTACTATGTATTTCAGACTGGCTCTTTGTTTGTTGAAGTGCTGTTATAAAACAGTTAAAACTTTATCATTATTATTATGATATTGGATGAATCTGATTTTGTGTTTCTCTAAAGATTCAGATGGTACCAGAAAATCAAATAGATGACCATTAATATAATAATTGCTCCTTTAACAGGTATTCCTTTTGAGGTAACTGAATAATGCTTAGACTTGCTAATTTGTGGTTAAGCAATATAAATCCATTTCCATGATTGCTTCTAAAAAAATTCAGTGCTGCTTACCTTTCTGGGCAAAGTGTATCATTCAAGAGTTTCCTTAAGAGAGAGACTAATTAGATGAAAAGCATTTGCTTCAACACTTCATTGACTATCCTGCTTTTTTATGTTTCTCCTTTCACTAAGATAGGTATTGTAGCTGGGGTTTCTAACATGGCATCAGTCTTCCTGTGCCATTTGATTTCTTACATGTAAAACCCATTAATTAATTTATCCAAGAGCCTCCTGAGACACCAATGAATTCTGTGTTCAAGTGCAGCTCTGAAATAGAGTCACCTGAACATAGACAGACCTGAACATTGATCTAAGTCCAGGATCTTACAGCTGCTCATCTAATTCTTTGCAGCAGATCTACTATATCCTTGGTATTAATCTGTATGTGTTTTACCCTATCATCTGAAGCTCTTTAATAAGGCCATTCACAGTATTCACCATTTCCAGTTAGTGCTAACTACTATTTAAAACAGGTTGTTTGTGGAACAGCTTGCCTTCAGAAATCGTGGGTGCTCATCACTGGAGGTTTTTAAGAAGAGACTAGACAGTCATTTGTCTGAAAGGGTATGGGTTCTCCTGCTCGAGCAGGGGGCTGGACTAGAAGACCTCCAAGGTCCCTTTCAGCTCTATTCTATTCTGGTATTTTAGTATCTTTTTATTCCTGTGTACGTTATCCAGAAATGGTGTCACATTGTAGGCTTAATGTTAAAGAATGTGGTGAATATGGTTAAGAAACTGTGATGGACATCAATTCATGCTAATCACTTGTAGCTGTTTAATTTTGGCAAAAGATGTAGGGCAGTGATGGTGAACCTTTTAGAGACCGAATGCCCAAACTGCAACCCAAAACCCACTTATGCATCATTGGGTGCCGGCTGGGTGTGGCCCATTGGCTGGGTGTGGCCAGTTGGGTGGGGGTGGCCCACTGGGTGGGCGTGGCTGTGGTGGTAATGGCAGACTGGGTGGGACTAAAAAGTTCAATCAATCAATTCCAACTTTGCAAGATCTTTTTTTTCCCGTGAGAAGTTGAAATTGACTGATTGATTGAACCTTTTTTTTTTTGCACATGGCAGCGGAGGCCTAAAGCAAAAAGGTTTTATAAAACCCAGCTGAAGGCCTAGGACTGGGGCGATGGTGCGCGTGCCCACAGAGAGGGCTCTGAGTGCCGCCTCTGGCACCCGTGCCATAGGTTCGCCACCACTGATGTAGGGACTGATATCTAAAACAGTTGGAGGGCGCTAAGTCAATTCTTGATTTACAGAAATCAAGATCCTTAGTATAGGATGAATTAAAATAGAACCATCAGATTGAAAACAAAAGGCAATATCATTCAATATTTTCTTTTCAGGATTCTATTGACTTACAGAAGATAGCAGCAATGGGACATTCTTTTGGTGCTGCCACAGTCATAGAAACGCTTAGCAAAGATGCACGATTCAAGTAAGAACTAGTAAAAAGTAAAACTCTATCAGGTTGGCCTAGTTGTTTTTCTTTGCAGTAACATTTGTTTTACAGATAGTTCTTGAGTTATGGCCATTTGTTCAGACTGTTTGAAGTTATGGCAGCCCTGAACATCGGCACTTAAACAATCCATCCCCAAAGGTATAGTCATTTCAGACCCTCCCCCAGTAGTCATGTGATCAAAAATTGGGCACTTGGCAACTCACCCACACTTACAATTATTGGGGTGCTTCAATTCCCCTTGCTCATCTACAGGCATCTTCACACTCCAGCACCCCCCAATTCTACCTGCGTCAGGCTCCCAGGACCTCCACTATCCCCCTGTGTCACCCCCCATGCTCCTTACCTTGGACTCCCCTCCACTTAGTGACCTGTACATCTGGAGTTATAATGGCAACTGGGACTGTTGGGATTGCCATTGCTAAGCAATCCAGTCATATAACGTCACTCTTCATGATCTTATTGCTCAGCAATGGAAATTCCAGTCCCAGTTACGGTCGTAAGTTGAGGACTACCTGTATTTGTAAAGGTTCAGGTAGTCAGGGTTTATGCATAATATCTAAGAGAAGACTTCTGTCAATTGCATTACATTGATTGCTTGATTGATTATATACCATCAAGTCATTGTCACTTTTTAGCAATGATTTATTTTCACCATTATGACCTGTCCCTAACCTGGTTCTTCAGCTGTGTACTGATCGTCACTGTAACTGAGTCTATCCACCTTAAATGCTGGTCGTCCTCTTCTTCTCCTTCTTTCCACCTTCCCCAGCATTAGTCTTCTCCAGAGAGCTAGTTATTCCAATATGTACAAAGTAGGACCAAGTGATAAAGCTTGCATTAAAACCTTGTTTAACTGTAATAACTGGCATTTGAAATTTCTTGTTTTGTTCTTCTACTCCATTCCTTTTTCTTTTTATACGGCATGCACATCTATTTGATAGTAAGCCTATGGATGTACAGTTAGGGATGCCTTACTTGAACTGCAAATATTCATACAGCCATTATATAGTTAAAAAGAGAAAGAAAATAAAATGACTTCTGGCTTTCAGCTGCCATTGATATTTTATAGGAATTTTAATAAAATCAAATATTGTTCTTACCGGATAAATATCGATAATTTTTAAAAACTTTATTTTTGAAGTGGTATCTCCGTAAAGATCCAGTTTGGTGTAGTGGTTAAGCTACTAGGGTAGAACCCAGGAGTCTGTGGATTCTAGTCCCACTTTAGGCATGAAGCCAGCTGGGTGACCTTGGACCAGTGCCTATCTCAACTGCTAGAAAGCAGGCAATGTTAAACCACCTTTGAAATCTTGACAAGAAAACTGCAGAGGTCTCTCCCCCCTCCCTCTCCCTTTCCCTTTCCCTCCGTAATTCTTACATGAATTCATGGAATAGGTGAACATTGCACAATGATTTCTGCCAAATTTTAAAGTGAAGTGTATGAGTACGTATTGAATATTATTCAATAATTATTACTGTCCCCATTCCTCAGTTCTGAGCATTTTTTTGTGATACTGCGGCTTTGCTAGCCAAACAAGAGTCAATGAATTGTTTTTTGTTACAATTCCCTTAAGACTTTGTTCCAAATAATAGGCCATCCTCTAATTGTATGATTCTTTTTATTTGCTTATAGGTTCACTTTTCTAATTACTATTTGTTGGTTTGACTACTGATCTACTGTTAGATTGACTATTGGTAGGAAATAATATTCTACATATGATCTGAGATTAAATAGAGTAAACTAATCTGAGACTAAAGAGAGATAGTCCCTCTTTAATCTGAATTAAAAGTAGGAAATCCTCCATTGTAATGGGCATAAATTGTTTTGAAACTATTTGTACTCAAGAGTGGAATATTCTACCTATGTGTGAATGTTAGTATAATAGGCATATAAATGCATAATAGTAGAACTGCAGATGTAGAATTGATTGATTGGTAAATAGATGTGCATGCTACTTATTCTATGGATTCAAGGTAGCTTGCCTCACAGAACAATAAACAAACATAAAATCACAATAAAGAAAATTATTACACAGCATCATATTGGCCAGCTCCAAGCACTTCCAGTAAAGTGATGTCAACCTTATATAGTACTCTCCTTTCCATGGATTCATCTTGAAATCCACAGCCCAGTGTTCATGGAAAAATCTGTAATTCAGGATAGCCCTAAAGTATTCCATGACAAATTCCTTTTGCTTTTCAATATGTATTAAACAACTTGTTATAGGAGACCCCACTGCCTCTTAACACTGAACATTTACACTTATAGAAAGTTTCTCCTAATGGAACCTAATAAAATTAACATAAAATGTCTCTGTGGATACAGATGTGTGATTTATAGCATCTATGTGCACTTTAGGATGTGCAAGATTAGGATGTGCAAACTGGCACTAACATGTCACAGAATTTTTTTTTCTGAACAGATGCGGTGTTGCTCTTGATGCTTGGATGCTTCCCCTCTCTGATGAAGTATATCCCAAAGTTCACCAGCCATTGCTGTTTATTAATTCAGAAAAATACCAGTGGGCTTTGAATATCCTAGAGATGAAGAAACTTAATTACAAAGGCAGAGAAAGAAAAATGATAACTATTGAGTGAGTATCAAATATCAGTAGCCTTAATTTCTTTAGAATGGAGTTTGAAGCTATGGTATTATAAAGAGAGTTACACTTTATATAGTTTAAAATTAATCAGATACAACTGAGATAAGCACCCATATCACCTGCAGGTGGTGTCCAAATTATTATTTTTAAATCTTAAATGGTAAAAATCTCATAAGGCTAAAATATGATAAAATCCCAGAGATGATATTGTCAAAAGCAACATTTGATAATCCTACAACATTGTATTGGTCCCTCTGAATTTCAGTTATCCCACAGGGAGCCTGGATTACATAACCCATCATTTTAAGATTGAACAATAAAGGTAATTCATGGATTCTCCTCAGACTGGGTGGGATTCTTTCCTGGGATTAATTTTCCATGATTGTCCATTCTAAAAATATTGTTATAGTACTCCTCTTTCAAGGTCTCAATATTCTTTCTGTGTTCTTATTGATCAGGAACATGATATAGGTATATATAATGGTATAGGGTCTCCTATACCTATAGTACCTATGTCTCCTGCTTGAGCAGGGGGTTGGGCTAGAAGACTTCCACGGTCCCTTCCAACTCTATTATTCTTTTATAGGTTAATCTCCTCTGGATCCTACCCATAGTTTTCCTCCCAAGAAGCAAGTGTCTTTTAATTTCATGACTGCAGTCGCTGTCTGTGGTGATCTTGGAACCCAAGAAAATAAAATCTGTCACTGCTTCCATTTCTTCCCCTTCTATTTGCCAGGAAATGATGGGACTGGATGCCATTATCTTCGTTTTATTAATGTTGGTTTCAAGCGAACTTTTGCACTCTTGTCTTTCACCCTCATCAAGAGGCACTTTAGTGCTTCTTCACTTTCTATCATTAGAGTGGTATCATCTATGTATCTGAGGTTGTTAATATTTCTCCCAGCTTTCCTCCCAAGGAGAAATTCCAGCTTGTGATTTATACAGGCTGGAATTTCACATGATTATTATGCATATAGGTTAAATAAGCAGGATGACAATATTCAACCTTGTTGGACTCCTTTCTCTATTTTGAATCAATCAGTTGTTCCACGTCCGATTCTTGACCCAATATGGGTTTCTCAGGAGACAGGTAAGGTAGTCTGGTATTCCCATCTCTTTAAGAACTTGCCACACTTTTTGGTAATCTACATAATCCAAGGCTTTAGTGTAGCCAATGAAGCAGATGTATATGTTTTTATGGAACTCCCTTGCTTTCACCATAATCCAGTGAATGTTGGCAATTTGATCTCTAGTTCCTCTGCTTCTTTGAAACCCGGCTTATACTTCTGCTAAATCTCAGTTGGCATATTGCTGAAGCCTATCTTATAAGATTTTGAGCATGACTTTGCTAGTATGTGAAAAGAGCGCAAATGTATGGTAGTTTGAACATTCTTTGGCATGCCCTTCTTTGGGATTGGAATACTATATAAATTGAACTTTTTCAATCCTATGACCACTGTTGAGTTTTTCAAATTTGCTGACATATTGAAAGCAGCACTTTAACAGTGTCATCTGTTAGGATTTTAAATAGCTCAGCTGGAATACCATCACCTTCACTAGCTTTATTATTAATAATGCTTCCTAAGGCCTGCTTGTCTTTGCACTCCAGGAGTCTGGCTCAAGGTCAGCAATCACACCATTGGGGTTATCAGGGATGTTAAGATCTTTCTTGTTAAGTTCTATGTATTCTTGCCATCTCTTCTTTATCTTTTCTGCTTAGGTCTCTACCTAACATAACGTAGGTAGATGATACATAGCCTCAAATGTCACTGCCATCTTGGCAATAGTACTCAATACATTCAACAAATTAAGGTCTTTTATTTCAAAAGGTATGCTCCTGGGCACAATAAGTTGCAATAAGACTATTAAGTAAACATATATCAAAGCTTAAGCCAACAAGTTGGAAGGCCTAATCCTCTGGTCCACCACCAGGAAATATTGAAGTTCAGTGATGTTTCTCTGTTTCTTCTTGATGTTTTAACACAGGTCAGTTGATGTCTTCTCCCTAAGGGATCTTAAATTAGGTCAAATTGTAAATCAGTATATATCTACATATTACTGAGATCCTCATAATTGGCTCCTATACAAAGGATCCTTTCTGAATGAGATCAAATTTTCCTTGTGCACTGCTTTAAAAGTGGACATCTCCCTCCCTTTGGGTTCATTTATGATATTACTGATAGTGATCAGCAGGCAGTTTAGCAGAATACATATATTGTGTAGGATAGCTCTTAAATATTGTAAGCTTGCTATATACATGATTCAAATAATCTATGTGATCTAATTAAAAAAAATCAAACATGAATACTAATTGTTCAACAGCGACTGAATTTTACCTCAAAGTAGTAATTGTAGTTGTGTTCCTTTGATCTCCAAATGAAAGGTTATTGCATGTACTTTTATTATAATGATAACAAACAATTCTAACTTATTATTACTGCTGGGGGGAAAATGAATAAAAGACACAGAACATTACCACAACCACCAAAACCCTTGGGACAAACATGTAGAGATAAAATGTAAACAAGAAAACAAAAATCTTCAGAACCAAAAACATTTAATTAGGTTCCACATGTTTCAGCAATGTTTGCAAAGATTCCCTCTTGTAGTCAGACTTGTTTGATTACTTATTAGGCTTATCCTTTGCATTTTCGCTGTTTTCAGAGGATCAGTACATCAGAGTTTTCCCGACTTTACATTCCTTACCGGAAACATAATTGGGAAGATTTTTAAACTGAGAGGAGATATAGATCCCCAAACAGCTATTGATATTAGCAACAAAGCTTCACTGGCCTTCTTACAGAAACATTTGAGTAAGTTGCTGCATTGCTTTTATATTTAATTCTTAACACCCCGTATTACTACATGTTGATAAGGTGATGTGTTACAGACAATATCTTTCACAATATTTGATGCAACTTTAGTGTTTGATCACTAAAGCTACCTGAAAATATAATGCATATATGCATATCAAATTGAACATGTTACATGTCGGAGAGAGAGAGAGAAACAGACATACAGTTTGATATAGTGGTTAAGGCTAAAAACCAGGAGACTGAGTCCTACTTTTTAAGCACAAAGCCATTGGGTGACCTTGAGACAGTCACCTCTCAGTCCTGAGAAGTGGGCAATGGCAAACCATTTCTGAAATCTTGGCAAGAAAACTGCAAGGACTTGCCCAGTCACCAGGAATCAAAAACTGACTCAAAGGACCTCAAAAGTGTGATGTATCCTCCAATTACATTGACCACCTGAAAACATCAGATGATTAGTTGCATCCTTATTGGAACTCCCGAGACATAGCTAGCCAGATGTTATTCTATGGGGTTGGAACCCTCTCTTGGAAATTGAGCTTATAGACCCTTGCACTTTAGATGACTACTATATACAGTGCACTAACTTTAGGAGCTATGCAGATCCTGATACTCGGTAGTTGCAACAAGTGATATTTAGAGATTGTCAGAATAGTAAATACTGTCCACTTTCCCTTAAGCTCTCAGAGCAGAGAACTGCAGATGCTAAATTGTCAAACTCTCAAGTATGTGGTTTTGCATGACTTCCAACTGGTTACATGGGCCTCCTGGTGGTCAGTGTAACTGAAAATACCATACTTCAAGAAGAGGAGTATGGGGCATGGAAGTCATGTAATCCAGCATCTGTATCTCTGCTCTGAGAACATAAGGGAAGGTAGACTGTTTATACAGGGATGGCAAATCTTTTGGGCTTGGCATGTAAAAAAAAACCCAGAAAATGCCTAACTTGACTGTGGATGTGCCACACACACAACACCCCCAAACAAAAGAGAAACAATTCTTTACCTATTTATTCATTTTAAAGAATGCAGTCCTATTGTGCGTGTGATCCCTAGGACTTGCTGTGTGCCACTTACCTTTAGGCTGTTCTGTTGATAGGCCCCTGCAGCCTACCCAAGGCAGCTTCGCTCACACAAGGCCTTTAAGTGGCTTCAGAGAATGCTCTTCTGCAGCCTTTGAAAACTGCAAAAGCACGCACGACCTGTTCTCATGTGATTTTCAGAGACTCCAGGGACCATGCAAGAGCCTATCTCTCACATGCCATTTTCAGAGAGTCTGAAGGCTGTGCACACCCCAATTCTTGCAGTCTCAACAACCTTTGAAAATCACATAATGGGATGTGATTTCGAGAATAGTTGCTGTTGGGTGTCTGTGAATGGTGGTGTGTCATCCAAATGTTGTGGTGTGTAACCTTTGACATGTGTGTCATAGGTTCGCCATTACTGGTCTATACCATTCAGATTCATTTCCCAAGAATCTGAGATTTTAAATACTACACAGAATAAAAATAGTGTTTTTTTTAAAGCTGAACTAAAGAACCACTCATATAATACACTTGTTTATCATGAGCATTTTTAATATATAAAAAGACTTAGGTTACATATCAGTATTCACTGACTAGAGCAGGGGTAGGCAACCCAAAACACTCAAAGAGCCACTTGGACCCGTTTCCCCCCGAAAACAAAACACTGGGAGCCGCAAAACCCTTTTGATATCTAAAATGAAGATAACACTGCACATATCCCTTTTTACCTTTATTATAGGTGTGTGTTTGTATATTTATATATATAGTTTGATATTATCCTGGTGTTCGAATTTACTTACTTTTATTGCATGGGTTTACCCAGTATTCGTATTTTTAATATAATTAGAGATGTGTGTGTGTGTGTGTACATTATCCTGGTGCTCGGACTATTTTATTTTTATTATATATGTGTATGTGTATGTATGTAGGTATGTATATATGTATCTATATATATTAAAGGTAAAAAAGGATATATGCAATGTTATCTTCATTTTAGATGTCAAAAGGGTCTCTCTCTCTCTGTCTCTGTCCTCTCCCTCTTTCTCTCTCTCTTTCTCTCCCTCTCTCTCTCCCCCCCCTCTCTCCGATCTTCTGCTCACCTGGCAAGCTGGCTTCAAGCAGTTGTCCAACAAGCTCGGGGGGGGGGGGGGAAAGAGAGAGAGAGAGAGCCTCTCTCTGTCTCTGTCTCTCTGCAAATTTCCTCCAAGAAATCCCTTTATTACAGATGATCTTGTCAACAGAACCTTACCTGTGGAATTTCTTCCTTGAAGACATGAACATTGCCAGTGATTATTTTTTTAGTGTCAGGCATTTAGTTGATTCTCCTAAATTTTTTTAATATGCATTTTTATATTGTATATGTTTCTACATCCTCTGGAAGTTTTACTGAAAAGTGGAATATACTTTTCAAGTAAACTTATTTTAAAGTATATTGACCTTACAACTCAGTTTAAAAAGGGATCTTTCCAGACCTTATAAATTAGAGACTTAGACTATGCTGTTTAGATGAAGTCAGCCATCCATATTTATCACTATGACTTTCCTGTTTCCAGCATGTCAGTTTTAGAACATCAAAGCAAGCTTAATTTTAATATATTGTGACTTAGAAACATAATTTCTGTTAATACAACTTAATATTTTCATGTATTTGTATGTGCCATCTGATTTGAATTTATCTTCTCTAGGTCTCTCTAAAGATTTTAACCAATGGGATCCTCTTTTAAATGGTGAAGGACCTAATGTCATTCCAGATACCAATGTTGACTTACCTCTAGGAGCATCTCAGTGTAAATAAAGATTAATTGTCCTTAAACATTTCTGACTAAATGTTGCTTATTTCATGATAGCTCCATTGGAAATACTATGTTTTAGAACATTTGAAGATATTAAAGGTGGTTCTCATTTAACAACACTCATTCAGTGACCATTTAAATGCTGCTGAACAGGAGTTACAACTGATCCTTGAAGTTTCAGGTATCACAGCACCATCACAGGCACAATTGTGACCTGGGCACTTGACAACTGGCACAGATTTCCATCCATCACAGCATCCCACAGCTGTGTGATCATAATTTGTGCCCTGTCCTGCTGGCTTACCACAAGCAAAGTCAATGGAGAAACCAGAAGTCAGAAGTTCCAAATATGTGAAATCCTCGCTTAATTACAGTAATTGGGGAAAGCCGGGATGCCACTGCTAAGCAGCATGATCACACAATATTGCACTTTATGACAACATTGCTTAGTGATGTAAATTCTAAATTCCAGTCCCAATTAATGTCACTAAGCAAGGACTGCCTGTACTGAGTTGGTTTCTAATGTTAAAAAAGAACAAAGAACAAGTGAACATCAGTTATTAAAATTTCTTTTATTGGTAGAGGTGCTCCAGACATGATATTCCTACCATTACATGGATTTTTAAAAGCTGATAGTGTTACTATTCTTGCAAATAAAATGTGTGGATTTCTAGAAGGGCTGGTACTGTAGCTCCCAGGAGTTAATCTGAGAGTGGGATGTCAGAAAAAAACCAGAGAAACCTCTTGGTTTACCCCTATATTTCAAAGTAGAAGATGCTTCTGCATGAGTATAATAGTCATTATATACATTTACTCATCTGAAACATAAGTTGTCATCTGGTACTGGATACATTTAGTGCACTAAATGATGGGACTAGGAAAGTAGTTTATTTGCATATATATTTGATCCCAGTAGGCTATGGTTTTTGCCTTCCCTATATTAGGATCTCCAATCCTTTTGGATTGAAATTTACCACCCATCTTGATATCACATGTTTCATAGCAGCTTACAACATGATTTACTGTTACTTCTACAAGTCATGTTCATTGGCATTGTATAGTGTAAATTAAGCTATTACTATAGCTTAACCAAAGTTACAGGGAGATACCATGCCTGCTATAGGTGACAAATATGGCCATTTACCACTACATCATGATGGGCCCTTGAGTTCTTTTGCATTAATTCAGCAACCAGAAGAAATGTATGGCCATAAATTAGATTTTCCAATACCTGAATCCTTGCTGTGCCATAAACAGTGGAAACTAAAACTAAGAAAAACTGTTTCTATATTTAATGCACTTTGATTTCTGAATATATAATTATCCACTCCCTCAGCCACTCCATATTGCCAGTATCTCTGCTATGCGGTGCATATATATAATTCAGTTTTTCATTCTGCAATGTTGGATCCAGAAATATTCACCATCATTTTTGTTGGAAGCAAATTAAAATCAAATAGTGACATGAGATTTATTTCTGCTTACATTTAAGATCTGTTTGTCATGGGAATCCAGAAGAATACTTGGCATCCATCTAGCATAGCACAGGGATATAGAATACCAGCTGGAGTATGGTACCATGACTCATTTCAATGATTACTCAGGTACATAATTTGGCAACTTTGAATTTGGCTAAGTGGCTCTCAGGAAAGTGAGACAGATAGAGGACCGTCTTCAAAAACGAAGTATTTTTGCAGCAGTATTGCCAAAGCTTTCATGTTTTTTCCCGTACCACCACTACAGGTGTTATTTTGAAAACAAAAGGGCTTAATATAGGATTAGCCTTTCTGATCTCAGATATATGGGCTCTTATTTTGATCAGGCCTTTCTGGTTTATTCCCGCCTCCATCCCATAAAGTAACAAAATAACAACGACTCCAAAACAAAACAAAACAAAACAAAAGCGGATCTGGCTTTGGCAAAAAAAGAGCCAACATCATGTCAGAGGTTGATAAGTTAATTCCCCATCGTGGTTAACAGTAAGCATACCCAACATGTCATGTGAGTGCAATTGCTACATTTGGTTTTCCCCTTTTTGAAAGGCTAGAATTTAAGTAAAAGCTAGTTTTGAAAATCAGTTGATCTCTCTGAGGGAGATGGGTGGTTCAGAAATGTGAAAAACAAATTCAATAAAAATAAACTAATTATAGTTTTGAAGACAAGAGTTATCCTTTGGAGTGCAATTCAAGTGAAAGGCTTTGAATGCTTTTACTGATTTCTTAATGTATTTTTATTATAACAATGTCTTGAACAGTAACAGAAAGGTAGACTACAAGTGCAATTGAAAAAATATGTTTAAAACTGGCAACCAGTTATGTTTTTACTTTAATACAACCTGTACTCCCAATCAGCTATCTCTTGTTAACACCGCTTTGGTGGTACATAATATCTGGGTTTGAGATTCTGAGAGTTTTACCATGACTGAAAGACATCTATTTCTCAGTCCTACCCCAGGAACACTCCTATTGTGTTGATTAACCATTTGGAATAAACTTTCTATGCTATCTTATACTGGGGAGCTAAAAGGGAACTTTAAGTTATATTTCTTTAATTCTTAACATAGGTTCCCTGAAATGATAGCTCTCTACTACTATATTTAAAATTGTATAAAGCATAGATCAAATTATATCTAAAAACATAGATCAGGATGATGATGGAAAAAAAACCAGTATATGGTCAGCTACATCACTATGATCACAAATTTTCCAAATGCAAGAGTATGAAACAACAGAATGAATAGCTGAGGTATGTTTTATTTCTTTCATTAACAAAAAGGAAATTAACACGCACAACCTTTCCATATTACCACACCAACTCAATATATGAAAGGATATATAAGTTTCCCCACCACCACCACAAACTAGCTCCAAAATTTAAATATTCTTAGATAATAAACAGCAGTACAAGTCTAAAACCTTGTTCCTGACCCTTAACAAGGAGCATCATACAAAACAATGGCAAACATTCTTGAAGGATATGAGAAAAAAAAAAACCTCCTAGGAGCTCTACTGGTTTGGACAGGACACGCCTGATAAAAGTCTTGGCTTCAGTTAGAGAAAATTTGAATGTAAAATGATTTAGCATTGCTCAGCTGTACTCTCAGTGCTGTCACGACTCAAATCATTTGTACTGTCATCTGAATCATGAGTCACTTCTTCCACTATAAGAAATAAAATAGTTTGTTTTAAACTAAAATAAGTTTATTTAATACAACCACAACTGTTTGCCTATGGGTTAAATTAAAATTCTAACTAAATTTCCTCACTTTTGGGGTCATACTAATGAAACATACAGAAGCCATATTCTTTCCTCACTTCTTGCTCAAAATTCTAAAAGGATTTAATTTATTTGACTAGGTCCAATAAATGGCATTTTTTTTCAGAAAAAAAGGAAATTAATTCTGCTTAATGGAAGATTAAGTATACAGGTAGTCCATGACTTACAACTAATCATTTAACAACCGTTTGCAATCATGATGACCCTGGAATGGGTTCTTTACAGCTCATAAAGCACTTCCAGCCACGGTAAACTGTTGTGCCAAGGCCTCCCTGGATCACATGAATGCATTTCAAGCACTTGGCAACCTGTTCACATTTACAACCAGCTGCCAAGTGCCCAGCAAATCATGTAATTGCCATTGGCCATATTTTTAGCTAGCTTCCCAGGTTGCAGGTGTAGGAAACGTTGGATTTGAGTTTTGTTTCCCAAGAACACCGAGGGATCTCCCCTCCTCACTGTTTAGTGACAGAAAATCCTTCTGCAAGTTAGAGAAACAGACCTCAAATGTAGTACAAACACTAGCTGTTTTGTGATCTTTCCCCTTGGTGGAGTGAGAGGAGAGGGTGTTAGGCTCTCTCCTTTATGGTCTATTTAATGACCTCAACTGGGAGAGCTGGGATTGTGGTTGTTGAGCAAAGCAGGCACACCATTGCAGCTCATGTTGAAAGCACTCCTGGAGAACCGACACGCGGGTTTCACCAATGGGTGGAGGCAAGTCCAACATTGACAGAGCCTACCTACCTTGCTTAGCCCAACCTTCCTTCTACAAAGCCTTGGAAGGGGTGTGCAGATTCCAACGTGAGCTGCAGAGCATGTCCTACTCCTCCAGGACGCTCTCACCACTCTGTTGGCTGACAAGACGAGGGTGCCACATCTTGTCAGTTGTTCCTGCTGCGTTCTCCAGTTAGTGGGCTGGCAGTGAAAGACAGGGCTCCACCAACCATGCCACCCTGCTTCTTCCGCCACCTCCGTCCTGCTGCCTCTTCCTTGACCAGGCCTGTTCAACTCTCTCCACAGAGAAGGCTCTGCCACCCTGCCATGTGTATTCAAGGGCTCCACCCTTGCTAGCACCAGGATCCTGGGCCAGCAGTGGGAGGAAGAAGACAGTAAAAGTTAGCTGGGAGGGGGATGGTAGCAGAGGGGAATAGGCAATGGTGTATAGGATAGTCAAAAGGGTAGAGATGGGCGAGACAGGTGGAGGGGAGCTAAAGCACAGGCAATTCATATAGGGCAGGAGAATATGCTGCATTATTTATAAATGTGGGCAGGGTGCCAAGCAATCAAATTTTGATCACATGACTGCAGGCATACTGCAACAGCCAGAGTCTTGATTGGTCATAAGTTCCATTCATTGAGTGATATTATTTCATCCAAAATACATACATGATAGTCTTTGACTTACAATTACAATTGGGGCCAGAATTTCATTGTTGTAAATCAAGGCATCCATGTGACTAGACCCTATGTTACTATTGTTTTACAGCGATTATTAAGCAAATCACACAATATTAAGTCTGAATCTATTCTCCTGAACGGGCATATTTTTTTTTTTGCCAGAAACCGATTCCACAACATTCCAAGCAGTCATAATTGTGAACCAGTTGCTAAGCACCCAAATCATTAAACAACCAGGTCTAAGTCAAGGACTACCTATACTGAATGGTTTAGTTCTTCAAATAGCAAGAAGTTGTATCTGGAATCCACTCAGGGAACTGAGTTGTACACTGAATCCATCTAGAGAACCAGTCAACAAAGACTGCAAACTTTAATACTCCACAATTTACAACTGTAATTAAGTCTAGCAATTATGGTCATAAGCGATGTTGTAAAGTAGGTCATCACATGACTGACCCCAAAATGACCTTTTTTGTAGTGGTTGTTCTTTGCAACTACATTTCACAATGCAAGATCAGTCACACAAGTATTTTTGGCAAACCCATTTACCATTATTGGTTGGAAAACGTATTCACCTAGGAGGAAATCCAATAAGCTTTCAAGAAACCATAGAAGTCATCAAAAATAATTTGGAGGATATTCAGTTACTATAGGAAACTATGAACAGCAGGACTGGTAATAGACAGAGAGTTCCCTTTTAGTTCTCAGCCTTTTCTTACCCTCGCTTCTTTGAGATTCAGTTGCTGGTAAAAGAGCAGACTACTTTTGTTACACAAACTGATACTAAGGATACTATCAGTGAACCTAGAGAATTCATATAACTACCATGAATAAGTCTCTTCTTTGTCAGAGTAAACAATCTTTATCCCCCAGATGTTTTAAAACTGTAATCTCCATAGTCGTTTGGCTGGGATGGAGAGAACTGACATCTAAAAATCTGTCAAAAATCCTTAATTAACAGTCTCTTGAAATCTATCTAGCCATTCATAACCATTTCAATCTACATTGCAACAGCATAAATTAATCATAACTACATTCCATCAATATGCATATAGGCCTTTATATAATACTGAACCCTGTCCTGAGAATTGAAAATTCAAACATGGGGAAGCAGGAGAGGAAATGGAAACTAATGCAAGCAATGCACAACGTTTAAATTACACACGCATAAGTTCAATTACCTATTAAATAATTTCAGGTACTCTCAACTTTAATATTAAAAAAATGCCCTTGGAAGCACCACAAAATGGCTGGGAACAGGCAATCACAAAACAGAAAAAGCACTGAAATTTGAGTACAAGGTTCAAATGCAAATTTTGAGTTGTCATAGTTGATTTGATGTTTCTCCCTCTCCTCATTGTGACAAATTTCACAATTTGTGCTTCCAATTTCTCATAATTATAGGAAAACAGCTGATTTCTGCTTGTCATTTTGCAATCAGCACAAAACCTCTTGAAATTGCCAAGAAGCTTTTGTAAGATTGTGCAGTAGCTGTTTCATAGCTAGAAAGGGCATCCTGCAGACATTGCCCTGGGGATCATGCTAGAGTAGGAAAGGCATTTTCTTGTAGCCACAGATTGGACATCTTTCTTTTCTCTTCAAGAGAAGATATATTAATCTCCCCCAAATGGGAAACAGTCTAATTTAGGATGAAAGGACATAAACAGTAAGGGTTGGTACCTGCTATAGCCCTTAAACCACCACCAATTCCCTGGAAATTTGGGGTCCATCTATTCTAGGATAGCAAAAGGAATGCTATAGAACAGCATGCATCCTGTCAGCATGCATCACTGGCTGCCAACTGCTAGGAAAAAGGAGAAATATTTTGAAAAGGAAGAATTTTAATAATAAATTGTATGCCGCTTTGGGAAGGCAATTTCAAATATACAGAATAGCTGTGGCAGTTTTTTGGAGGAAAACCAGATCTATTTCCAATATTGTAAAGAGGGATGTGGGGCTAAACCTTCTTTATGAAACTGGTAATATTTCTACTCAGCTGAGAACTGCTACAACTTAAAAAAATGATGTAGAGTATAAACATCTTATTTCTGCTCTCATAAATTCTGGAAAATTAGAAATGATTTTCTTGTGGCTAAGTAGGAAAAAATACACTTGAAAAAGAATAATGAGCTATAGATTGAATGAAGTAGTACGCATGGAAAAAGGCAGAGTAGTACATATATAAAATGTATAGCACAAGTTCACATTCATCTAAATTTTTAACTTACCTTCCATTGCCAAGATAGTTGCTGGCACAGAGTGCAAGATATCTGTTTTATTCTTGGACGTTATCTAAGAGGAAAAAGAAAAATAATTTCTAGAAGAACAGCTTACAAAAAGAGAACAATACTCAATGAGTACCCAATGTTTATTGTTGGGTAGCACACTTAAGATTCATTGCTTTTAAACTGTGTTACTTTCTCTGTATGTAATACTGTATGTCCAAAACACTCCGAATTTCATCTTGTTGGGCTTCTGTTCCAGAACTGAAATATTTCTTAGCATTTCTTATTAGAAAATGGCATGGGGGGAATAATTACAAAATAAATATTTCTTTAATCATTAATTTTATTTCAAGAGTATCAGGACTGGGAGGGCGTGGTGGCCTAGTGATTAAGATGCTGGGCTGTCAACTGAAAGGCCCGCAGTTTGAGACTCAAATACCATGTGACGGGGTGAGCTCCCGTTCCTGCCAACCTAATTGGTCAAAACATGCAAATGCAAGTAGATAAATAGGTATCATTTTGGTGGGAAGATACAATGTTCCGTGTGCCTTGACATATAGTCGGCATATAGTCATGCTGGCCACATGACCATGGAAGTGTTTTTGGACAATGCTGGGTCCCTTGGTAAAAAGCGGAGATGAGCACTGCCCATTAGAGTCAGATACGGCTAGACAGGGAAACCTTTACCTTTACTTTACCGGGACTGGAATGCACCACAAAAAATGGAACAGTTTAATTCTTTGTTTCATCAGGAATGCAGTTGAGAGATTTACAGTAGGTTTTATTTCCCTGCATAGCACAGTCACAATGTTAAGCTATATACATGTGTGTGCATGCGCTGCTTAAAGACATAACATAAAAGCCTTGATGAAACCACTTTTTTGGTGGAAAGAAACTATCAGGACCTACCAGAATTCCTGTTAGAAACACAATACCTTGATTAAGACATGTCTAAGAATTTCCTTGGCTTAGTCATACATATATCACAATTCTTAAATAAAGGGCAACAAATGGGCTAAGTATTACTTGCATATCTCTCAGCCAATACACTAGGAGTATTAGTTGCACACTGACCATAGGATGGAAATCAATTTTATCTCCAGGGAGAGACCTCTATGATCTTCAAAATATCAACAATAGTTTGCTATGCTGACTGGAGCTGTTGAGATTTATTGTTCAAAATCTAGGAGGGTTTTCAGTTTTATTTCTATCTTAAGCAAATGATAATAATGCATTCCATACCAATTATGCCAATGATTGGTATTTTTTTCTAAATTTTAGCAAAAAAAATGTTAGTATTCATTATTTTCTACCAATTTTGGTGAATTTTGTTTATATTTCTTGCCACTAACTTTGCTTATTCAAGTGGTACTGAATTACCTACTAGCTTTAAATCAGGTATGAAACCTGTTCCTCACTAATTCACTAAGTGGAAAAAAAATTATTCACAAGAGGTCAGAGAAAAATAATCAGCAAATGTCCATAACACAATTGCTTTTTTATTATTTTGGAAAATATACCTGAGTGAGATCTGAATCCAATTCAGGAATCCCATTCCAAACATGTATAGGATTGACTATCTCTTCATTTCCATTTGAAAGATTCAAAACCTTCATTTATAAATAACATAAGAGTTAGGTATTAATACCTACAGAAAATTAGAAGACATTTATTCATTTAATAGAAGCACAATTAAAGTAACATGAACTAGCACAATTAATTAAACTCCTTACCTTTGTACCTTCAGCAGATATGTCTAAAATCTCAGCCTTGTACCACTGAGTACCTGACCGTACCATACATTGGGAACCAATATCAAATCCCATTAAATTGCAATTGTTTTCTTTTTTTTCTGCAAGAAATAATACATTGTTTATTTATATTATTATTCATTCTATACATTATAGATGGGGCAAAGGGATTGGCAGCTGCAGTTTACATTGGCAATCTCAACTAATACAAGTAGTCCTTGACTTACAACCATTCATTTAGTAACTGTTCCAAGTTACAATGGCACTGAAAAAAGTGAGTTACAACTGTTGTAGCATCCACACAGTCACTTGATGAAAATTCGGGCACGTGGCAACTCGCATATATTTATGACAATTGCAGCATCCCAGTGTCATGTGATCCCCATCAAGTTCCCAGTTGGCTTCCAACACAGAAAGTCAATGGGAGCAATCGGATTTGCTTAACAATTGTGAGATTTACTTAACTGCAGTGATTTGCTTAACAACTATGGGGAAAAAAAGATTATAAAATCAGGTGCAACTCACTTAACAACTGCCTTGCTTAGTAATAGAAATTTGGGTCCCAATTGATTTTATTTAATCTGGTATATTATTTGTGATGACACAGTAAGAAAACAAGGCCACATGCTTTTAGCCATTTCATTACGTTTGAAAAATACCTATAATTTTCAGTTAAAACATAGTATTTCATAAAAATCAAACAGCTGATACTTAATACAATACCTTTTAAATTCAATTGTAGTATTAACCATTTTGGTTCCAGAATCAAATTTCAAGAAAATTTACACTATTTTGAATTTGAGCCCCGAAATAAATTGGGAGCTAATATCAATGGCTAAAATTCAGTTCTTCAAATGGAGCAATTTTGTTATGAATTCCACTTTTATAAGTGGTAATATGTAGAAATATATAGATCATCTTTTCCATAATAGCATCTAAAAAGCAGAGCTCTCTGCTTTCCAAGAGCCATCTAGTTACTATTATGCTACACTATTGATTTTTTATTATTTTTCAAAATCTATGCACTATCTTTCTGCCCAAGTCACATAATACAGCTAAGAATAGAACATACACTATAATTTAACAATAGTTTTTTTTTAAAAAAAAAATATCCTAAATATTATCATCAATGCCTCTTGGATGAAATATGTTCAATCCTAAAATGAATGTCTGGGAACCTAACAACAAGGGCAGTCCGTAACTTGAGACCAATATAAGTTCTTCCTTCATGATTGACAGACCTCTGAATATGTAAGTATTTTTAAAAGGAGTTCTCTTAATGACTGGATAGGCTTATAGTGAAATAGAAATGGTTATGTCATAACATAAATTTAGGATTTCTGTTTAAAATTTTAAATTTTTGAAAAAGCAAGCAGCAATCACTGCAGTTTTTTAAATATGGAATCCCAATATAATATCGTACACTGGACAGTAAACAGTTATACTTCCATCACTGCAAGCATACATGCTGCAATTGTCTGGTTTAACTATGTGGTCTCATTTCCAGGTCTTACTAGTTTAGGAATGGATCTAGTTTTCACTCTAGACGTAATTGTGAAAACATACAAGATCTCTTCTAGAACCTATGCCACACGGTGGAACTCACTGACAAGCCTTTCTCCTTTTTGGACTCAGATAGGAGACGGGAAAATAGGGATCCCATAAAGATACCATGACTGATGGTACTGAAGTCACTGAAACATGTAAGGGAATTATTAGGGCCACACTCCCAGCCATTTCATTCACAAAGGCAAAGTAAATTCAGTCACATATCTCCCAGATGAAATGGATCTAGTTAATAATTTTCCAGCTGGATCTGGAAACTACGCATTCTCAAATGAGATCTATGCTTTATATTGGGAAGGTTATATAGTCTATAAATCTTGAAAAATAATTGTAAACCCCTCTCCAAGAAATTAAGTTGCCATCATTTTTTGTCCAATGCTGTCTCAATGTTTTTTTCCACTTACTTTGCCTATCTGAATTTGCCAGATGAACAAGACTGGGCAAAATCTCAAATCAACTTTGTCACTCAAGGTTCTACATTAATGCCTTACCTGTATCATGTATTAAGGCTTCATTCACTTCACTTAGCTGTATATTTGTTAAATAATCCTTTTCAACAGAAATATTGTCTTTAAAACTTCCATGAATGCTCATCTGCATTTCTCCATAGTTCTTTTTTAGCGCAGTTTGCCCTTCAGTAAAATTGGAATTTTTATCACTTTTTCCCAGGTTACACTCTTCAACAAGGCCTTCAACAGAAGAACAGAAATCTTGTGGCTTAACTTTAATTTCTGAAAATGATGACTGGATTTTATTATCTGCAGGAACAGACAAAGCAGGGTATTGCAAATATAGTGTATTATTGTTGGCTTTCTCAGTCAGTAAAGGAAACGCTTCAGGTGCCAACACTTCTAATATTAAATTTTCATTTTCATTCATTAGTGAAGTATTCTCTTCTACTTTGTGTGCTGACTGACCTTCCACATGTTGTGGTTCAAGTAAATTCAATTCTGTCTTTTTTTGTGGTTCATCACAGTAAGCTTTTATTTCTACTGTCTCTGGTTGTAGCACGTCTTCCAACAAGGGCACTTTTAACTTCTCAATTTCTGGCATGCTTTTTGCATTATTTAATTGGGGAAGGACTTGTAAGGGCACAAAGTCCAGCAACCTCTTTGTATCATCCAAAGGCAACTGAATTTCAGAATCTAGCATTAATATTTCTTTGTCTTCTGTTGTTTCCTGAGATTCAAGTGCATCATATTCAATTTTACAAGTAGAAAGCTGTATTTCAGAAAGACCTGTAGAATCTATTATGTTTTTTATGTTTCCAGATGCAGAATAGTTTGTTTCATTATTAAATGCATCAAATGTGGTCTGTTGGTTTCCTGTATAAAATATTTCATGCATGATAAAGTTGATTTGAGTTTGGGGTGGCTGTGCAGATGTTTCTGATAAAATCCCATCTTCAACATCAAAACACTTATCTACTGACTGTAATAGATTTGGACAACAGAATACATCTTCCAAACTATTATTTGTGGGGGTTATTGTACAAACAGAAGTTTCAGTTTCAAATGGCACAGATTTTGAGTTCTCTTCTTCTGGATTTCTAATCTGCTCTTCAGTGTTGTAATTATTTGCTATAGTGGAATCACCACTTTCAGCATGATGCTTCCAAAAGTGTTTCATTTGTTCATTGATGCTTATCTTTTGACATTCCAATTTAACTACAAACAAGGGAATTTCAAAAGAACCATGGTTCAGTTTGTCCATAACTGTAATCTCTAATGGAAGATCAGCTATCATATCATAGAAAATTTTACTTATTCCTTCAGCCCATGAACCTTTTTCAGAATTAAAACCAAAGAGACAACACAAAAATGCTTGTGGCGGAATTATTAACAGTCCATCAGGAATTTGCCTGATCAATTCTATACTGACAAGTTTCTCAGTTCCATAATCAATATCGATTACTGTCAAGGAACTTTCTTCTATATGAGTAACAACTGCTCGGTGAAATAAATTATTTTCATTAAACTTTGCTAGACAAGGACTGCCATTTTTAAGATCATTAACGTGGATTTTTGCATGTTCTCCAGCTTCCTGAAGTTTTATTTCAATTGAACTAATATCATTTTTACTGAACTGACACCAGAAATATCCTGGATTCTTTGGAATGAATGAAAAGGCTTTTATAGTTTCACCTATTTTAGGTATTGTCCAGAGAAATGATTTGCTAACTGAAAGTCTACTGTGCTTATCAGAAAGAATATCTTCACATAAGCTTACTTTGCCAGTCTTGTCAAATCCTTTGTCAGATGTCTCTATTAGGTCATATTTTTTATATTCAAGACAACTATTAATCATATCAACCATTATATCACCTTTTTCATCACTGAGTATTATTTCCCATTTGCCCTTTACTTTCTCAACAAATTGACTATTCACCTGAACCTCACTTGTCTTTTGGGAGAAATACAGCACTGCTTTTTGTGTCCATTCTGGAATCACTGACATCTTAATACTACCCAGGCTACAATGGATGCTCATCACAGGGAAAGATAAACAGTCTTCAACAAGTTCGCATGTTTTATGAATGCTAACTACCGCAGTATTGCCATAATCAATATATTGTACCTCTACCAATTCACTAGTGGATTCTTTAATAACTACAGCTCGATACCATAAGCCATCTTCTGAATAAATTGCACATATTAAATCTCCTACATTAAGCTGTTGCCCCACTAAGCTTGAAATTGTTTTAGAGTTGTTTATTTTCTGTGAAATACTATCAAGGATAGGATCATCTTCTACTAACTGTACATAAAAATCAGAAAGATTATTTATGTGAGAAACATACACTAAAGAGTTAAGACCAGGATTTATGTTTTTTTGAGGTAGTTCATATATATTTTCAGGTGAAGAATATGTTACAGATTTGGATTTATTTTTAATATCACCTCTCTCCCCTTTCTCATGAAGGGCTGCACATTTCACGTCCTTCCAATCTGCCCCATAATTACTTTTGCTAGTGCCTTCTGTGAATCCTAAGAATTTTCTTCCTCCCTCTTTTTTAGTTTTCTGCTGCAATTGGCATGTTTCTTCAAAAACAGCACTAGATTTAGTATTGCCCTCAAGAACAGGTTTGACAAAGTCTACCAAAGCTAGCCCCCTTTCACTGTTTTCTTCCCTATTAAGTAAGTATTTGGAAGACAAAGTGCTGTTTGCTGTGTTTTCAGTAATCTCTTTGTTTTTGGTAATCTCTTTGCTAGCCTGCAAACCTAAGCTTTGTTTCAATCTTGCATTGATCTGTATTTTACCATCATACAGTTCAATTATCCACGTTCCATCAGGATCTTTTGCTACAATCAAAGCTTTTAAGGGCTTATCTAACACTGCCTTTTCAAACCACTCAACAGCATCTTTTGGTGGATCAACAATATCAGATAGAGAACATTTTATAGCCTGCATAGGCAAAAGCATTAACTCGTAAGAATAGTTTGGTACTGCAATCAGCTCTTCATTTTTCAACAGTTGTGTATTCCCAAAATCTACAAAAAAAACTTCTTTGGTATCATTTTTTGAAGTTACTACTGCCCTATACCAGCAGTCATCAGTATACTTTGCAAGATACAAATTTCTAGAGGTGGGTGAAGTTTGCAAATTGTACATTTTGCTTACTTTACTAATATTACTAGTTAACTTTTCAAGAGCATGTGCATTCCTAGCAAGTTGGCAGAAAAAGAAACATGGACTATTAACATGTGTGACATAAACAATCTCTTCATTTCCTCTTTTGATATTGTGGGTTGAGTAATAATATGATAGAAGTTGAACAGATGATACCAAGGGTTTCTCTCTCTGTACAAATGTGGCTAGACCTTTTCTTGTTAAAAAATTGCAAGCACTTTCAAAAGGAGTAATTAGGTCAACAATATTAAAAAGTTCTGTACCATTTAATGCTGCTAAAGCAAATATAGTACACTTCAATGTCACTTTAGATCCTGAATCCACAAATTCAAGAAACGTTTCGATGGCTTTTTTATCCCAAACAAAAGGATTTGTATTTTTTGGCTGAATTAAATTGTAAAGGCTACATCTAAAAGCTTGAGCTTTTAGCTTCAGAAACTCTGCTGTAGTTGCACGAATATTTTTCAGTGAAACATGTTCTTTATTTCCATAATCAACATAAGCGACTTCAACCTCTTCTGTGTAACGAACCTTATTAATGATAACAGCTCTGTACCATTTTTTATCCTCAGAACACTTAGCCAAACATACAGAATTTGGCCATTCATGAAGCTCTGCTGAATGTATACAATAATCCTGAATTTTAGCCATAAGTATATTCAGTTCATGGGAATTCTTAAATAATCGACACCAAAAATGACTAGGATTTTCTATGTGTGTTACAATCACATCAACCGTACTTCCAAATTCAAGCTGTTTTTCACCTGCCTTTATTTCAGAGTAGTTCTGCATCTCGCATGATGAATTATCATTGCCACTCAGAACTGATGAAGAATAAAAAGCTCCCTCACTGGAATGGTGTTCATTTATCAAAATTTCAGTTGTAGAAGAAGCTGAAGAATCATGTTGTGGATGTTCTACTTCATCTGTCGCTGATATTATTTTTTTCATAGGTTTTAACCTCATTGGTTTACTTTCAGGGTCCCCTGTCAATAGCTTGTCTGATATTCTCTGGAGAGTTTCTAGTACTTCATGATGCTTCATGTACTTTCTCTGGGACATGATTTTACCCAAATTTTTTTCTCCCACTAGAGAATTATCAAAAAGTTCAACTATATAAACATCTCCTTGCATGCCTAGAACTTTGATCATCAATTCCTTGTTTAGCACAGATTTCCTAAAATAATCAACAGCTTCTGGGTTCCATGACTGACCTGGGAAAGGATTATCCAATGCACACCGGACTGCCACAGCAGGAAGTTCTTTGAATTGGGGAAGCAACTTCTTCACCTTATATAAGTCAACTACTTCAGTGTTTCCCCAATCCACCAAATACACCACAATTCCTTTTCCGTGAACTTTAGTAACAAGGGCACGATGATAAGAGTTTTCCTTCAACATGACACAGCAGAGGGATCCTACCTTGGGCTCAAGTAGAATACCCTCTAGTTTCTTACTCCGAGAATAAAAGTCCCTTAAATTCCGCCTTAAGTGACAAAGTGGCTGTTTAAGTTCCTGCAACTGCACCCAGAATTCTGAAGGGCCCTGAAGAAATGACATCTGAACATTATGGTACTCGCCTGCCTTCAGACGCACAACAAAAAATGGGGTAGCAGCAATAGCAGGCAATGACTCTGACAAAGAAGCAGATTCCTTTTGGACGAAGACACCCAAGCTTTCTGATTCAATAATTAAACCAGAGGTGGATTCTTGATTACTGTGCAGAAGATTTTGAGCCAGGCAATGAGCCTGCACCCCATACAGGCAGTTAAGGTTGAGACCATCTTCCCCATATAAGGTAATGTAATAGATATGCTCAAAGGGACAGTAAGCTTCGATGTGAGCTTGAACTACCTTGCCCAAGAGCAATGTTTTAAGTTGATTAATTTGTGAATGGGTCCAGCCACAACCTCCATCCGTAATACCTTGCAGTGAGCAAGGGTAGGTTACTACTGGCATGCGGAAATATTCAGCAGGTAAGTTGCGCAGATGTCTCTTTGTCACAAACTCTTTCCTGCCATAATCCACACAAATCACTTGAGCCACTGCCTCTGGTTGATCCTCTTGATCATCTGCCGGGTATATTTCTAATAACAAAGCTCGATACCAGCATCCATCCATGCCCTGGGCTGCACAGGGAAAACCTGGGGTGGGTAAAGCCTCTTCTACAAATTTTCCCTTTGATAACTCAAAAGCTTGGTACATAGCATCTGAAAGTAGTTGGATTTCTTTAGAAAGACTACGCAGCTGGCAATATATCCTATATGGATCAGAGATTTGAGTCACCACCACAGCCACAGTCACATTCAACTCCAATTGAGGATAGAAGAAATCCATTGTGGCTTGATCCTGCTTGGACTGGGCAGAAGAAGTAAGGACTGGGGCCTGGGACAAAGGGGAAGTTGGCTCCAATGGGACAGAAGCAATCTCAGGAACTTCCAAGGTGGCACTCAGTAGGGTGCCAAAAGCAGTAGAGGCAAGACTGGCAAGCCCAAGATGACGCATCTGCGTCAGCAGCCAGGGCACTTCCAGTACCACCAGGCATTGCGAGATCAGCAGTTTTCGAATGACGCCAGACAGCTCTTTGCCATTTAAGAAACCCAAAAAGTCGACTGCCTCAGCCGCCCATCGTAAGTTCAGCATCTGGGATCCTAGCGGGGTGAAGCTCTTTGGGCCCCTAACAGTGGCGGCCAAGGATGCCCCCATCTCGCCGGGAGGTAGCAAGTCTGCAATGATGCATCCCATGACTTCAGACGGCAAGTGGAAGAGTTCGCTGCGGCCCCGCGCCAAGTAGTAGGAAGTGGCGCTCACCGTGCGGCCCTCGTCCAGTAGAAAGACGCGGTAGTTTTGCCCCGGCTTGGCCCGGCAGCTCACGATACGGCAGCGGTGCCACCGCCCGCCCAGCTCCACCAGACACAGGTCACCCAGAGCCAGGGCTTGGCCGTCGCTGTCGCCGTCGCCTCGGCCCCCGCGGTCCCCAGGAGCGTTCGCCAAGCGGGGTCCCACTTTGATCTGGATGTCCTTCATCAGCCGCAGATATTCCTCTCTGCGTTCGCCGGGCAGCCCCCAGAGCCTCACCAGCGGCACCTTAGGGTGGATTTCTACGAAGGAGACGCGAAAGGTAATGGAGCCGCCAGGGATGAGCAGCGGGGAACACATGGCTGGCCCGCTTTTAAACCGCCCAGGAAACGCCGGGCGGCGGTCGATGGCCGAGTTACATAGAAGCGTGTGACTCCGCCCACCCGCCCTCCTGCCTGGCTGGGACGGCTTCGGGGCTCGCAAGCAGCTGCAACTCGCGAGGTAAGCAACGGCGTTAGCGAAGCGCGAGTTGACAGAACTATGATAGAAGGCGAACTTTTTCAGAGGCGCCACGCGGCCGGGATCACGTGCTGACTGCCGCCCATTGCGCAGGCGCAGATAGCTTTTCTGGCGCACCTCGATTCAAATGGCTGCGTTGCAGATAATTTTTGTGGGAAAAGGTGGCAGAAAACCGAGTTTCGCCTTATTGTTCTTTAACCGTTGAAAGTAGAGGCGGTCTATACAAGGATTATATAAAAGAGACTAAAAGGCAGAAGTTTTTTTCCAGTGCGCGCAGGGTTGGTGGAACTGGTTCGTGGCCGCCAAAGGAAGATTAGTCTCTCGTACTGAAACTACGAGCGTGAATAATAAACAGCCCATCAAATCAATAAGTCTAAACAAATCTTGAAAAATAGTTGAATTCTGGGTTATAACGTTTGAGCAGTGGGATACCACAAGGCTCCGTCTTAGGCCCAGTACTCTTCAAGATCTTCATCAATGACTTAGATGAGGGAATAGAAGGGGAACTCGTCAAATTTGCAGATGACACCAAAGTGGCAGGAATAGCTAACACCCCAGAAGACAAGTTCAGGATTCAAAAAGATCTTGACAAACTTGAACTATCCAACAAAATGAGTTTTAATGTGGAGAAAAGCAAAGTTTTACATTTAGGCAGGAAAAATCAAAGGTACAAGTACAGATTAGGCAAGACCTGGCTCAAAAACAGTGAGAGGGATCTTGGAGTCCTATTGGACGATCACTTGACTATAAGCCAGCAATGTGCAGTAGCAGCCAAAAAAGCTAATACAATCCTGGGTTGTATAAACAGGCAGAGAATTAAGATCATGCAAAGTATTAGTACTGCTTTATAAAACCTGAGTAAGACCACACCTGGAATACTGCAACCAATTTTGGTCACCATACTACAAAAAAGATGTTGAGACCATGGAAAAAGTTCAGAGAAGAGCAACTAAAATGATCAAAGGCCTGGAGACTAAAACATACGAAGAAGGGCTGCAGGACTTGGGTTTGGCTAGTCTAAAGAAAATAAAAAATAGGGGTGACATGATAGCAATATTCCAGTAATTGAGGGGCTGCCACAAAGAAGAGGGGAGTCAAATTATTCTCCTAAGCACTAGAGGGCAGGATAAGAAACAGTGGTTGGAAACTGATCAAAGAGAGAAGCAACCTGAAATTAAGGAGAAAGTTTCTAACAGTGAGGACAATCAACCAGTGGAACGGCTTGCCATCAGAAGTTGTAGGTGTTCTATCACTGGAGATTTTTAAGAAGAGGCTGGACAGTCACTTGTCTGAAAAGGTATAGGTTCTCCTGCTTGAGCGGGGGGCTGGATTAGAAGACCTCTAAGGTCCCTTCCAGCTCTGTTCTAAAAATTCTAAATCTCCATATTCTTCTGAATGGGCTACCGTTGTACAGACTCCTGGCCCCAGCATCTGCATTGTATGATCTCAACAAGGTCAACCACTAGGGTTCCTTGGTGGTAAGAAATTTAAACAGCTAGTCCTTGACTTAAAACTGTTTAGTGACCGTTCAAAATTACAACAGCTGAAAAACATGACTTATGACCATTTTTCATATTTAATGATTGCTGCAACATCCCGATGGTCATGGCAAGAAAAATCGTAAAATGGGGCAAAATTCACTTAACAAATGTCTCACTTAGCAACAAAAAATTTGGACTCAATTGTGGTCATAAGTCGAGGACTATCTGTACTATGGACTCATTTTTTAAAAAAAGAAGCAACTTCCGTTTTCCACCCTTCCAAAACAATGCAATTACTATTAAAGCTTCTCCAACCAACATGTTAATATCTAACACATGACACTTTCTAATAATATATACAGACATAATGTATTACACAATTGCATGCTTTGACCAGACCAGACATAGAAATATATCAGTTTCCTCAAAAACTCTCCAAGACTTAGATGCTGGTTGAAGTTTGAAATTGTTGAAAATTAGTGTACGATGACGTTGAGCAAACATGTCTGAAATATAATAATCTTAAAATGTCAATTGCAAGTTCAAGCACTTCTTAAGTATGTTAATTTATGTGCATATGATTCCCAGTTGTGTTTTCTAAGATAGATCAATCAAGGTCTGAATGTCAATTCATTTTATTCCATTTTTCTGCAAATGAAAAAAAACTAATTTTATATTTAGATTATGAACTTATGTTTGTACGTGTGTGTTGAAGAAATGTGATAAAAGACCTAGCTTGAAGAATAATCCATATACTTTTTCAAGGTGTGAATATTGTCTTTTCACTTTATAAAGTGGATTGAATCCAGAATCCTTATTTAAACTGATCAGTTTGCCTTGTGTCATAAATGCATTTCTATAGTAACTGATTTCAAAGGGTAATTGGAGGCTAACTGTGATGTATTTATTTCTCAGATGTGTACGTATGTTCATGTCAGATTCACAAATAAGTGATAAAACAAAATTGTACATTGTAAACTGTGATTCTGCATAGAAAAAGAGTGCCCTTGAAGGATTTTGGAATAATGTTGCTCTCTGGAGCTTGCAACCTTATCTTCATACTGCAGCTTTGCAAAGGCCAGGCTGATGACAGTTTTTATAGCTTACTAGCTGTACCCGGCCACCCGTTGCTGTGGCTCAGTCTGGTTAAATGGAAAAGAAGGTATATAAAAACATGCGTGTATTCGAATGCAATGTTGTGTCAAAATTTCAAAGCAATCGGTGAAGAACTTTCGGAGATTTAAGATTTTGAACAAACGAACATTTACATTTTTATTTATATAGATAAGGTGAGGGAAGAGTGCTCAGCTTTCTTTTCGACTCAGCAGAATTTGGCCTTCTCAAAGAGGAAACATCACTGGGGAGAAAAATAAGGCTGCAGTGCAGGATATTATTACCTGCAAAAGAGTATCACATGAAAGGGTAAAACTTCATTGAGTTTACATGGAAAATAAATGTATTGATAATTATTATACTGACTCAGAAAAGAGCCCTAGAGCATGAAGGGAGAGATTAGTCTTCCATTTCTGTTTTATTATATACATCCACTCTGATTCAGAGACAAAGACAGATGATATTTGTCTAACACTTCTCTATGTTTGTTTGGGGGAGAAATTTTAAAATCTCACTGTCACCTTGACAAAATGATAACTCTAATATAAGAACTAAGTGTACTTTTTCTACTAACATATTTTAAACATAGTAACAACTTTTTTTAAAGAAAAAAGACTACTAATTGTTACTCCTTATTTAGTGACCACAATTGGAAATGGCAACTTGATTATTAAGTGCAGCAGTCACTAAGTGAAACCATAATTGAGCTTAGAATCTTAATTCAGCTTTACAAACATGAAAAAATTGTAAATGCGAAGACTGGTTGCAAAGTTACTTTTTCATCACAATTGTATCTGCAAATTGTTGCTAAATGAAATATTTAATGAGAAAGTTTATTTAAATAGTCTGTCCATCTATCCGTCCATCCATCTTCTTCCTGTTTTTGTTTAAATATCTGGTCTTGCGATATTCTATGTTAGTCCACATGGAACATCAGATAGCATACCAGCCAGGAGGTTAGGGAGAGATGATCAGGCTTCTTAATTTTCTTCACAAAAGCCTCTTGATTGCACAGTATTCTCCAGTCAAGGGTTGTTGGGTTTGTAGTTAAGCTTCCCATATCTGAGCTGAAGAGGTCTCTTAGCATGGACAGCCCAGTACCTTTGTAGCTAACTCTTTGCAGAGTTGGCATTGGAGCAGGTGCAATGAGCCAATGCTGCCCCTTCTGCCTTAGAGGTAAGGAGGCTACATTATTGTACAAAGCCGCTTTGATGGAGTTGCTTTCTTCAACCTTCACTAGCAATGTGCTTTACTTCTCCATAGCTCAAGGACCCTCCTCTAGCCAGAAAACATTTGTGAGTGAAATTGAACATGTAAAGGTTCTTCAGCCTTATTGAAGCAAAATCAGCATGAGTTCTTACAAAGACAAACACTATCTTAATATTATAGAACATTTTGTGAGTGTCACAAGACATGGATGGAAGTGACTATGTTGACATTCGTTATATATTTGGATTTTCAAAATTCTGTAATTTTTTTTCTTTGTTTTCTTTTGGGGGCAGCCATAGGTTAGTAGATAATGGCAGAGTATGTGATAAGAATCAAGGAATATATTTTTAAAATCAAAACCATAATAGACAGCATAAGTCTTTTAGAAACTTAATATAATTACACCCCAAAAGTCAGTGAAGTCAGTGAAAAATCACATAATGTTTGGCAAGTTTTCCCATTTTTCTTGGAACAACTACAATATAAAGATGAATGAAAACAAACTTTGCCTAAACTTTTAATGTTGTAGTATTTTTTTGCCCTAAAATATACCATAGCAAAGATGTTGTATTTCCTCGCTAAATAGACTAAGCCACTATCAAAGTTGTTTTTCCTGATCAAAAATACAGAGATATGGACAGTCCATCCATTACTGTGTATTAGTGTATTCAATTAAGACTGTTGAATTTAATTATTTAAAAAAAGAGATTCTGCATGGGAAATAGCTGCAACTATTGTTCATGTCTTGCTCTTGAGAACCTGGAAAGTCTGTGGGCATTTCTATATGGTTACTGTGCTGCTTCAAAAATCAGCCCTCAACTAGATTAATATCATGTTGTCATCATGTCTCTTTGCCACTTACTTTTGGCTCAGCTGTGGAAAACATACTAAAGGGAATCTTTTCATCTGAATTGACCGTGTGCTTGTTGGCAGAATCCCTTCTTTACACCTCTCCCCAGTTCCTGAGCTTTAGCCAGCCTCTTCTAGTAGCAGTTCGGACATCACAGCATGATGCCAAGACGTTATTATTTCATAGAT